CATGGCTGAAACGCTTTATTGGAAGCACTGTCATAGAATCATAGAATCACTGAATGGTTTGGGTTGGAAGGAACCTTTAGAGATCATCCAGCCCAACCCCCTGCAGTGAGCAGGGACAGCTTCAACCAGAGCAGGGTGCTCAGAGCCCCGTCCAACCTGGCCTGGGATGTTTCCAGGGATGGGGCATCTCCCACCTCTCTGGGCAACCTGTGCCAGTGCCTCACCACCCTCAGTGTAAAAAATTTCTTTCTAATGTCTAGTCTAAATCTAGTCTTCTTTAGTTTAAGTCTGTTATTCCTTGTCCTGTCACAACAGGCCACTGTCCCATTGTAAAGTATGGTTTTGATACCGTCAAAACCCATTTTCACATCCTTTTATGGCTATTCTTTCCCACTTGGATGAAGTGTTAAAAGCAAGGTGAAAGGATTTTATTCAACTAAGCTTAACAGATGACTTAGACTTCGGGCATTGAAGTTACAGTATTAAAACACCAAAGCAGAGATGCTTTGGGAGAGGAGCATTCTTTCTTTTCATTCCCAATCTGATGATAGTCTTCTCAAGATAGCACAACCTTCCTTCTAAGCAATGAAACACAAGATTCAGTAAAAATGTCATGCCCTTATCCCAGACCCAAATGCAGCTGTGTTCCCATGCAAAAACACAGAAAAAGAGAGAAAAATATTATTTTACTCACTTTCCTTTGTTAAACACCGAGAAGCTAATATTGTGGGACCCTGGAGGAGAGAAAAGTAATATGCTTTATGGCAGAAGCGTGGAGGGTTTCATGAAGAGTGCATCCTACCAAACCTTGTCCAGTTGTCCTGCGCCTGACTCTCCTCTTCCTCATACTTTCCTTACAGCAGTGTAACTGTGTTGATTTCAGCAGAATGTGTGTGCAGGAACTGAACTGAGTATGAGTTTGGGGAGCTTAGAGTCTCAGATTGTAGGTAGACACTATACTGTAGATACATAGTTACGTATCTGAACCTGCAAGCTGAATCTCAGCAGCAGGATTTGGTTGCCTAAGCATAAGTGCTTTCTGCCATCTTAGACCCTGTAGATCCTATCTGACCTCACTTGCTTGCTAGGAAGGTGCAGACTTCCTTCAAGACCTCCATAATCCGACACCCCACTGGAGAGTTCCTAGATGCCCCAAGATATCTCAAAAGCTCAGGCTATTATATTGTGCCATCAGTGTCTACATGAGAGCTAGATAGTAATTCCTATTTTATATATTTACTCCGATCATCTTTCCCAAGCAGGAAGCTTGCACTCAAAGCCTCCAAAAGAAATCAGAAGCTTCTTCAGAGTGCTTGGAAGCAAGGAAAAATGAAAGGGATCCAACCTGTTACCAGAGAGACTGTGAATAGAAGTGAGCACACAATTTATTCCTCTGATAAAACAGTAAAGGGAAGTTCTATCACATACAAGGATTAAAGTAAAAGTAGTAAACAGAGCAAAGACCCCAAATCACATTGTTGCTGTCAGCAATGCCCACCTCATGTCACGGTTTCACCTAGGTACTGCAATTCATTTTCTCCAAAGCTGTGCAGAGGACACAAATCATGGCAGTGGCTATGCTGAAGACTGGCAAGCCTTGATCTGAAGCATGTTTTGTGGACTCAGCCCTGAGCCACATTCCTAGCTTTGGAGACAGAGCAGGAACTTATGATTGACAGCCTCCCTCTGGAGTTGCAAGAATAACAAAAACCCATGCTCTTTACCCCTTTTCACCAACCTATGTGGTTCCCTTCCACCCGACACTGCAGGGTCCCCAGTCCATCTTCTGCCTGAATAGGGTAGCTGTGGAGAGACAAAGGACTTTGCTGAGCCTTGGGAGCGAAAAGAGAAAAACAAAGTGAGAATCATTTAACCAAGAAAAGAGGTAGCTTATACATCTAAGCTAGTCACGATTGGCTCCCTTTAGAAACAAGGCAGAGAAACAGGTGAGACAGGAGAGGAACAACTCATCTCCCCACTGATGATCAAGATTTCAGCAGCTTAGGAGGAAGCCTTTCAGCAACACACAGTGCTCCAGCTTGGCCCCTTTACCCTTGTTTCCAGAAGCTGATCCTCTGTTGGTCACCTTTACAACCCCCGTTTGAAATAAAAGCTGAGGGGAGACAAGTCTGGGCACACGATGAGGGTGAACAGGAGGACAAAAGTATTTCCCATCTACTTGCTCCTCTGCATGTCCCTAATCTGTAAGTAGGAGCACGTAGCAATTAAACCAGATATACTGGCATTACATCAAGCTTCTGGCACCATGGAATGATGCAAGTCCCATCATCAACTTACATTTGCATTTAAGTCCCCCTCCTGGGAACCAGGAGGAATTTTACAGTGCAATAAGAGGGTCCTCCGAGGACCCCAGGAGTCTTAGCCCTGACTTCTGCAGGAGCAGGTTTTTCCCCTGGTTCCCTGTAAAAGCAGCCTCCCTTTTCCGGGGCTCACAAGCACTGTGAGATGAGCATCATTCATAAAAGAAACGCTGCTGCAGAACCCATGGCTTTTTCTGTAATTCAGCAGGGTGCAAGAGCCAGCAGTCTAAAGGGTCTCCTGCAACTTATAAAAGACAAGGATACATTAATAGCAATAAATGAACAGTGCTGGGGCCCAGGCACCAGAACCTGTCTGCCTATGCTGTTAAATTTTTAGAGCTCTACTTGCCCAGTCTGGGCTCAAGTCAGCTAATCCATCTTTCAAATTGGTGTCTATATATGACTGAAGACAAGGCATTGACCAGGGTCAATAGGCAGCTTGGAAATGGCTACCCTGTTTTGCAGTCTAAAGAGTTGAACAGAACAGATGTAGCCAGGGCACAGTATACCATTTCTGAGCCAGAGAACAGCCCCTGGCCCTGCCTGGCTATGGCTAGAGCAACAGAGAGCCCGCAGCCCTCACCCACCCCTGCCACAGACCATATGGTCAACCTCCTATGGTCCCTCTCCATCTTAAACCAAAGCAGAAAAGCTTCTCCAAAAGCCAAGAAAATTTTTGTGCACAAGATGTGCTGAGCCTTTGCACCAACACAAACTAAAGGCAAGTCAAGAACTGACATGTTTCCAGCTCGCCTGTCAGCAAAAGAGCAGAGACTGGTCCATCCATCTCCTTCTGCCACAAGGATAGCTGGTCTAGGCAAAAAAACAGGAAAGATGAGATATGATACAACAAAGTTTCATTAATAAAATCCTGTCCTGTTAAAATCAGCAGCCAATATTTTCAAATGGGACAATATTACTGTATCACTTGTATTTAGCATTTATTAACCTCCTAGAAAACTGGACAAACCCATATCTTAGCCTGCAAAGTATATCCCCCAAATACTGCAGGACCTGCACCTCTGTAAAGACTGTGGCAGGAGCACCTTTGAGACAGCTAGCTCTGAACAACCTGTCTCCTCCCTGTAGTGAAAGGGTTGGTAGTCTGGGCCCCAGGAGGACTATACTCACCCTTGCCTTCCAGAAGCAGCAGGCAGCACAAGTACAGCGTCATGCTCACACAGCCATAACTGCTTCAAGGTGCAGCTCAGGCATTTTTTTAATTCACTGAGAGAAGACACTACAAACAACCTCTGCTAGGAATCATCCAAGCTCCTAGTAGCAAATCCAAGTATCCCCACCTTAAAGAACCAATATGGCAAGGGACAACTTCCATAGGAGAGGAGAAATCAGGTGGGAGAAATAAAGTCATGGTAATTAGCATAATAAGCAAAGGGTTGCAATGATTCTTTGAGAATTAACAGGCAGTTAAGGAAAATATGTAATTAAAACCTGTAATGCAAACATTTTACTATGACCAATGCTTCAGAGCATAGTTTTATGAAGTTTTAATAAAAGAGTTTGCTTTTATTAATACAGCTTGTTCCTACTGAGATGCCTTTCCTTGTAAGGATAAATAGGAAAAAAATCAGTGCTGCAAAATGTTTGGTTCAGCATCACTGGATCATTGCATCCCATACAACGCATAGAAAAGGGTGCACAACACACTTGGAAATATAAAAACGGTTCTCTTCTTTGCTCCAAATCCCGAATCAGTGTGACTGAGTGACAGACTGTTCTGGTCAAGTCCAAGTTCCCACCTGGTATATATTTACTAACACACCAAAAATGGGCAAAGTATTCATGTGAAGATATGATGTGAACGGGTCTGGTATGCTAAGATTTTGAGGTCATTTGCTTTTCGGCTCTCACAAGGTTAAGCTGTAAATGGGTAATCTAGGAATGGAGCATGCAGGCACGTCCAGCCTGCAGTCAGACAGACCAGCCTTTCTTCCCACTGATCAAAGGTTTCACAGTTCCATTAGAGGCAGGTAAACCAATAATTAATATTGAACAAAGGATACTAATATGCATCCAGTGAGCAAAAACGTAGGGCTGATAAACAAGTGTAGCTGGTATGGCAGGAATCTGCACTGGACTTCCGTTCACACTAGCAGATAATTTAGTTACTTAGCAGGGGACATTTCCATTCAGCCTGAGAAGTTGCTAAAAAGCATCTAGTGGTCAAATACCTGCTGCTGCAAGTAAATTTCGAACTACTGAGAATACACACCTTCCCTGGCTCCTGAAATGATCCTTAAAATGCCAGCACAGCAACTATAGATTAATAGTTTATCTTTAAAATTCTCACCTGGGCTTAGTTCTTCACTGCCATTGACACAAGTGCAAGGAAATCATAACTCAGTAGTACCTGAGAACACTCCCATACGTATGGGAATACATATGACAGACAGCAGGTCAGCGTTCATGCTCATTTCTGATTCACTGTGCTTAAAGTGCTGTTGTCCTGAAGTAAATTTTTAACATCTACCTGCTTTGCTCTGTTGCATATAACCATAGAAGCAGCAGCAAATAAAAATCAAACCTTCCTTGAGAACAAAGGAGTGACCAGAGAGGGTTTAAAGCAGTGAACAACGAAGCCTTTTGTCTCAAAACACTTCTGCTTTGTCTTCTTACTCACCAGAGCATCTGCTTCAAACTAATAGTTTTTCTAAAAATGCAAATGGAAGGGAAAATTTATTTAACTTTTAGATTCTGACATTATTTTAATTAGTTAAATTTTAATTTGCTAACCAAAATAAAATCTACAGCAACCAGATGCAATTACAGTACAATTCACACTGAGCTGTGATTGACTGTGCTGCCAGTAAACAAACCAACTAGCTTAATGGACCAGTTGCAATTAGATTAACAAAGTTTGCTGGAGCCCAACTCATGAGCTGCAATAAACCACAAAGGAAGTAAATGGCAATTCTGGGCCAACTGGTTGCAATTTATTGCTGTCAAGGAGGCTGATGGAAGAAATGCCAATTTACAGGGACTGGGTCAAATAGCATCCTATATATAATTACCCATCAATATAATCCACATTGAAGTCCAGGGTCTCATATCTTCCAGCAATTATCTTCCCATAGATCTCTATTAAATTTCCTGTTTAAAGGGAAATAGAAATTGAAGAGAGTCTTTTAAAAGCAGAGAATTTGTATTTGCAGATTTTGTGAGCTGAACAAAAGAAATTCTTGGTCTTTGCAAATTTTGCAGAGAGGTACCCAACTGGCTGAACTGGTGTCTACTCTCAGCTTCCACCATAGTTCAAGGTGACTTTGCATTTAATTCACTTTTCTCAAAACACACATCTGTGTTTCCCACAAAAAAAGTCCATTGCTGATTTTTGAGCAGATGTTTAGTATTTGTACTGAGAAGACATTTTCCTCAACTCTTCTGTTAACTAAACCCCACATTCTAACCAAATTCCACTGTAGAACCTCATAAGGCAATCAAAATGCTATTATTTGTACACTAGACAGGATCAGGGTCTAAAGAAGGATTTCAGCATATATGTGGCCAGCTGAATCACTCCCACCACTCCTTTGACCATACTGGGTGACAGCTTGGTTCAGTTGTCTGCACACGTGTCTTAAATCATTTGAGGCACCCTATCTTCCCACTGTAGCCCCAGAAGGGAATCAGTCTTCCTGGTCCTGTGTCATATCCACCTGCTCCATGCAGCTCCTTCATGCTCCAGGACCCCTCAAATAGCACTGGACACTTAGTGCTACTCTTGTGTTCTTCACTGACTACACTGGGAGGTCAAACATCCAGCTAACACATAGAAACCTCCATACAGACACCCTAAAGCAAGGAATGATAATCTGGAGCTGAAGTGCACCTGAAAATAATTGGAAATGAGGGACAGACTTAAATTTAGGAGCATCTATGTGCTCTAATCATCCAAGTACCTCTCTGCACTCTTGAGAGACCAAAATGTTTTGATTAATCTTGACTTTGGAAATCAGCATTTCAGATTTTTCTAAAGAATCCTGCAAATACAACAGAATAGAAATGGGGGGGGGAAGTCTTCCATATGCCAGTTAACTGTTCAGACCAAAAACTGTGACTTCTCATGTAATTTTAAAGTCTGTTCTAAAGCCCCATTAACAAAAAGGCCTGTATGGCATTACAATATCATCATCTAATAGCTAATTCTTCTTAAAACTATTACTAAATAAACAGGGTCAGATGACTCGAGTTGAGACTGATTAGACCTGTCCATCTGCTGAAGAACAACTCTCTACTCAGCCAGAGATGGGCTACAGAAGCTAAGTACCAAATAACCTGGTCACTGTGTGCTACCCACTTCTCTTGTACACTGTGCTGCAGACTCTCTCCCCTTGTGCAAACCCATTTTCCTGTTCAGCATGAGCTTGGACATTAAGTTCTTGAGGTGCCCATTTTAATCCCCAGCAAGACAGATCCCTCATAAAGAGAAAGACTGTATGGAACATCAAATAATAATTAAAGTGGGCTCCAGCTTAAAGAAAGGTCCCATACCTGGGATGCCAGATGGTGGACTAATTTGGTGAACCACAGGTGTCTGCACAGCAGAGAACTGCAAAAAGAAATTTGTAGTTAAATGGCAGTCATTTTCGCAGCAGCCCAATGAGATCTGATTACGCATTGCTCACAGCACAGTTGGCAACTGCATTTGAGAGACTCACACTTTAGGATTTGTCTTTGGAGTCCTGCTCTGCTAAGCGAGTAAGTACAATGTCCCCCTTCTTGCCCCCTCTGCATTCAGAGTATGGCTTACTGCTATATTTGCATCCTCCTTGTGCCCAAAGTTTCCACCCTGGCTTAAGTAAATTCCAGAAGATATGGTTTAATACACTATAAAATTTCTAAGCCATGCATTATCTGAAGTCAAGACCTCCATTTTATCCAGCTCTATGGCACCATTTTTCTTCCCAATAATATACTCTTAAAAATTATTTCTACATTACAGAAGTGAGATACTTCAGCTAGCCTTTAGCAAGTTTGGCGAGTACTCTAAAGCAGTGTAGCAAAGAAAATTCTTGTATTGGCCCATCGTAATTCAGTATAATACATCAGAGCTGTCTTTGGGAAAGCGTTACCTTGCCCTCAAAGGAAACAGCAAAGAAATACTGGAAATCCACTATGGGATACTGGTTTTGACTTAAACAGAGGCAAAGATGGAGCAGAGAGATTGTGTTTTGAGGCAAGCCTCTCAGAAGATGGGGAACGCACAAGGACCCTTTCCAAGTGGTGGAAGGTCATCATCAACCTCCCAAAGTAGCTGAGAGACACGGATACCTGACATACTTTGGCTGCATTTTCAACAGATAGAGCAGCTCTATTGCCCTTTTTCTCCAGTTGATTCTAGAATCTGTGAGACATTTTTAACCAAAATCACTCTAGAAATTTTTTGCCTGGGCTGACACCAATCCTATTCAAATGGCCTTGTATGTGGGACCACTACTCATCAGTTGAGTGGCAGAGGTACACATGGTCCTCCACATGCTGTTAGCTCACATGGCACTAATATTTTCTGTAAATGTCCCTGTCCGGAAGATGACAAACTGAACAGGACAAATAAACGGATGGCTTCAGCAGCTAAAAAGTGCCTTATGTCCAAATTGAACACCTCGATCCCAGTACTAAAGGAAAGAAAAAGGCAGTCAAAACTCTTTGGATGTGTTCAAAAAATTCCTGCTCTGGATAAGGAGTTGTCTCCGACACACTAGGTATTATCCAGTGCTGGGTTAGCTGAATATTATCTTGTAACAAGCTGACATAGCTGAGATGGTGTGGTCTAGTGTCAGTGGGAACATACCTGGACAGGCAATGAAAAAGAGCTGGATATCTTGGGAAAGCCATAAGGAGAGTTACAGAAAGGGCAGGTGGGCTTTTGGACTATGGTTAGATGAGTAAATAAAATAACTTGGAACCTGTTATTTG